GCCGTGCTCCCCTCGCTTGGCGGCTCCATCCGTCCGTGACCCACCCCCCCCCCTCGCCTGGCGTGTCCCCAGCCTGCGCCCGGCGGCACCAGGCGCACCGCCCACCTGACGCGCATGGTGGCGGCAATCGTGCCGAGCGACGATGCCGCTGAGGGCCTGGTGCGCGGCGCACTCGACATCGTGCAGCATCTCACCCTCACGCCGTCGCTGCGCCTGTACGACCCAAACGGCAGACACCCGATCAGCGAGGACGGGCCGCTCCAGAAGGTGGGTTGGTCTGTTCAAATCTCTGAACGGCGCGTCGACCCTCGTGCGCGCGTGCGTGCATGCGTGCATGCGTGCGTGCGTGCGTGCGCGCGCTTGCGCTGGACCACACCCACTCTCTAAGTCAGCGCAGCAATGTTGCTGCGCTGGTGAGCGTTTTGATTGGTCATCGATCCATAAACATGCAAAAACCATGCAACTCTTGACGCGCACCGCCTCGCAGCAGACCCCGATCCCCTGCCCGTCCCCTGCGTCCCCCCTCCCCCCGTGCACCCACCCCACCACGCCCAGGCGGATACCTACGTGCGGGACTGGCCGCTCTCGGATGCCGGCCTTTGGGAGCAGTTCGCGCTCGCCCTCATCAGCGCCGTGGACGCCCTCACCATACCGCACGTCGCCTTCCTGGACGAGTGGCTGGGCGCGCAGCTGGCGGGGGGCGAAGCCCAGGCCGGCAGGGCGCGTGCGCGGCGACTGGCCGCCCACGCCGCCATTTTCACCCGCTCGCACCTCGCGCGGGCCTTCTTCATGGGCGCACTCTCTCGCCTGTTCGGCGGCGCACCCTGCGAGCCGGCGTCGCTCCTCCCCGCTGGCCCTGAGGACCCACTGCATGGGGTGTGGAAGCGCCTGGAGCCCTACCTCAGCCCTGGGCAGCGGGCATCTGCGCGCGCAGCGATCGCCGCCTCCGCAGCCGGCGTTGCTGCATCCGGCGGCGCAGGGGCAGCCGTCAGCGGTGGTGGCGGCGGCGGCGGCGGCGGCGGCGCCGGCCCGTCCGGCAGCGCGGGGGGCGGCGGAGGCGGCGGTGGCGGCGCCGGCCCGTCCTCCAGCGGCAGTGGCGGCTTCCGGAGTGGCGGCCGCATGCCCGCCGTCGGC